GAGCACACCAGCATCTCCTGCACCATCCCAAATCCCAGAATTGAAATCACCAAACAATGATCTTATGAAAACAGATGCACGACAAAGTGTGTGGAAGTCACCAGACCCAAAGAATTGGGACCCAAAATCCAAAGAACAACAGATAGCTGAAAATGAAAATTCTTTATTTAGGGTCCCAAAAGCTAGACCGCCATCGAGGTCTCAACATACTAATCCACCTGAAGCTATTGAGAACTCTACTTTCTTGAAACCGTATCCACCCTCAGACAGACCTCACCTAAGTCAGGGTTACGAGCACAGGAGTCCATATGATAGTCGATTAAACAATACTGTACCTCAAACTTCAGCTGCACAAAATAACTTTACAATCAATCACGATGAACAGAACATGCAAATGACTGCGAATAAGCCAGTTACAGAATTCCCTGGAAACAATTTCCACGCAGTGAATCAAAACTCGTACGGGAATCAGGCACAAATACAAAGCTACGGCAATTATCCACAGGTTGCAAATGCTTACTCATTCCCACCAAACCCTTACGGCCATTTTAATCCCTACGAGAACACATATAACGATTACAATAGCCTAGCTTATTACAACGCTGAGAAGTACAAGAGGGAAGAGCTACTTAGAAATCCACATTGTTACAATTCTTACGGCTATCAATACAATCCCAACTTTGCACCAAACTTCTACCAAAACCCAAGTCCGAATTGGTGTCAATCATCACCGAACTGGTGCATATATCCACCACCATTTTCTATCCCATATCCGCCTGAACCACCCAAAGCTGAGCCAATTGGAGAGGTAAAAGATGTCACAGAAAACCTCGAATGTTTTAAAGATAGTCAAATGGGTGGTGTTGCTATAGCACTGGGGCACGGAAGCGTTTTATTCGAATGCGCTAAACATGAGATGCACTCTACTACGGCTGTAAAGAGCCCAAACAGGGTCAATCCGACTAGGATATCTCTAGTATTTTACCAACATAGAAACCTCAATCGTCCCAAGCACGGTCTTGAAGAATGGGAAGAAAAGATGAGGTTAAAGAAATTGGGACTGAATCCACCGACACCTGGTACGCCAGGACCAAATTCAAATTCTGTGTCGCCGGCTATTACACCTGGACCTGAGCGACAAACGGATGGACCCGAGAAGTGGAAGAACGGTCCGTCGGACGCCATCCCGGGAGGCTTCGCTTCCCTGTCGGCGCTAGTGGAGGCGACGGCGGCGGCGCGGCGCAGCGGGCAGGTGTTGCTGCGCGCCGACACGCAGACGACGATGTCGTGGACGACGTTGTTCCCGATGCACCCGTGCACGGTGACGGGCCCCTACCAGGAGTCCAGCACCTGACGCAAGCTCGCGCCTTCCCGCGCGACAACTAACACGAGGCGCTCCGACGTCCCTTCCTTAGCTATGTAAGCTCTGTGTTGCCTTTCGATTTTAGAAGTTTCTAATCGTCGATTAGAGCCATTGTGCTTTCCAATATATTTTGTAGTTCCTCGACTTATGATAAGTATTAAGTGCGGCGCGGCACTGGTCCGGCGTGCTGCCAAATTGAAAATCCAGCGATTCCTTTTATGCATTTAAAAAATTGGAATTGAATACCGTTTGTAATTGAAATATTTTTTAAAACGTATACCGAGTGAGTTTTAATCAAAGATGTAAGTTTAAGTTTTAATTTTAAATAGTGTTTATCGCATTTCAGCTAGTCTTACGTTACGTTAGAATCGATTGTATTTTGTCAAAGTGACCGTAATCGTGTAGATTTTTTTGTATATTCTTGTCGTATTTAAGTTAACGATCGTTGACCCGACCACTGAGCGGTTAGTTTAATTTTAACAGACTATTGCTGTATAAAATAGTGACGTTAATGTATGTTTTGTCTGCATATTTTGTCGATGTTTTTCTAATTAAGCGCATAATCGAAAGTTTTGTGCGACACAATGATCTCATAAACTACTAACCCTACATTATGTAACGTTTATCAGAACAAAAGTACAAAACACTACATGAGAGCGGTGGTCGGCCGCGCGCCGCGCGCCGCGCGCCGCGGGCTCGGACACATTCGGCGGTCGTGGTTATTCATCATTTTGTACCTTTGTCTGTCAATTAGTTGTTTTATTTAATTTGTAATGTTTATTACCATTCCTGTAATTCTGAACATTTGTTTTGGCTTATAATTTAGTTAACGCGGTTCGGCCGCTAGTATTTTACCACAAAGATACGAGTGCTTTTCTATTAGGTTAAGTCGTGTGTATTTTTAACTTTTTAGAATATTTAACTTATTTATATTGTATTACGTGAACCATTATCGTATCATTTTCTTTGTAATAATTTAGTGTTACTGTAGACTTTAATATTTAATATATTTGCTTTATGGCTCGATCATTAAATTATTACAGGTTGTTTTATGCATGTTTCAAGATCGCCTTCTTTATTTGTCAAATCGAGTGCCTGTATGTTTGGCTATAAATATTAATTGATATTATAAAGAATCTGATTTTACGAATATATTATGAATTGTGACCTTATTGTTTAAGAACTGCGATTGCATTATACGAACATTCTTCTAACTTAGTGACGATAAAAAATTATAAAATTAGAGAGCATACAATAAAATAAAAGATGAATAATAAATTACTATGTATAAGATAGAGTATTGCAAGGTTAAAAAATCATTTTTCAGGCGCTTGGAAAGATTATAAAGTAGGCATATAATTGAAAATGAATGAAACCATACTGATGAATAGTTATTAATATATAATTAGGAATAAGGAAAGTTTGTTTTAAAGATTAAACTATTGATATAGTTTATATTTTTTACGTGTACGTATTTATTGAATGGTAAATTTATTGGGACGAACGTGAAAATTATTTATAGGTAACAAGTTTTGGATATGACAAAACTTATAAAAACTAAGCAATAATAGACATCGGGGTCTATGTACATTGTAATGTAGGAATGAAAAATATTAAAATAAACGAATGGTGCGATATTGTCGACGGTCCTATGGTGACGCTTGACGTTTGATAACTTACCGAAATATGCCTAAAATTGTATTCGGATATTATTTGTGTATTACATTGGTAACATGCCCTCTAATTCTTGCCATTAAGTAGTTGCCAATCGTAGTGACTCTTCAGTTTTTCAATACATTGTGCGACAAGACATATCAAAAGCAATCACAGTATTTTTAAATCATATATTCATACACACAAGTATCAGAGCAGTTTGGTAATTTTTAAAACTTTATGTCTTCAAACAAAGACGAAATTTTGACACCAAAAACTAAAGGAAAATTAAAAATTGTTGAAAGAATTTCATTTGTAAGTAAATTGTATCATTTAGGTCACATTAGAAGCCTGTGATATACATTAACTCGCGAGTGAATGCTTGTATGTCTGTCTGTCTATCAGTGTGACTGACATGTTTGACGTTTGAAGCAATTGTGTTGCCAGACGCGAAAATCTTTTCAAAACCAAAAACGACCAGTATTGTCAGATTGTAACCAAAAATGTGTTTGTTTTTTTTATTATGTTATTCTTATAATGTGGGAATGGGTTTATTACCAATGTCGTTGTAAGAAGGTTGTGGCTAATGCGCCCGCCATTTTGTGTTAGGCGAACTTATTGTGTAACAATATTTTTATTGTCTTCTGCCAAAACAAAAGAGTAATCGAATGTGTCATGTAAATAGAACTACCATTATTTATTAATACAATTAATTTAAAAAAATGTTTTTTGTTTTTATTTTCTAATCACAATATTTACCCAAAACAGACTAGAACCTCAGCTCTATACAGTGATGTTAGCCGAAAGGTGGTCACATGGTAATGGGAGGCGCTAAATGATACAATTACGTTCATTATGCCGCAATGGGGTAAGCAGAGGACAGATGTTTGTAGCTCCTCGTTCAACAACAGAAGGCCGAACTTATTACCGGGGTCAGACACACTTCACGGTTCCGTACTAATTAAAATGTTAAAATAGGGTATTTACAGTACCTACTGAGAATTTTTGAATACCGAACACCTATACATAACTCAGCTGTACCCGGGTATGTATGTGTATTCAAAACTAGTTACGCCATCTAGTGACATAAACTTCAACGATTCAGTGGAAGTAATGTAATGCACACTAAAACTTTTTAACGATATATCTCAGTAAAATATATTTTAATTTTTATTATGTTTAGATTCATAATATATTTATTTCGAACTAGCTGTCCCGCATGAAAAATGACACTAAGTCTTCCCTGGACTTCTAATGACATTTTTAAAACAAAATTAGCCAAATCAGCCGTTCTCGAGATTTCATCATTTAACGAACGGAAATTCATTTGTATATTTATATAGATTAAACATTAAAATATATTATTGGAAAAGAATACTTAACGTTATTGTTGTATAGTTCCATCTCTGTTGGATAGTAGGAACCCTGCCACGTCATTTAGTTCTTCTATACGACGCTAGATGGGGTAAAATAAAAAACCTTTTTGAGTCGTTTATAAAATTGTATTTATTTATTTTCTTTTACATCTTAAGTAAAAAATATTATAAAAATATAAGAGTATTAATACACATAGTTATTCTAGAAATATAAAAGTCTTGTTTACCATTAAATACCCAAATGACAAAATATATTTCAGTTTTCAGCTTAATTAAATCGAGACTGCATTTGCGTATTCCACGTTAAACACTTCTACTCTAAATATTTCATTTGAGCATTACAATAAGTAAACTTTGTCATAATAATTTTCTTATACACACCTACATTTATATTTTCCTTGTATATTTTGTGTGGTCACATGACTTTGGTAACTTCTTACTTTATTTATGGGACAAGCCGGTAAACGAGCAGACGGATCACCTGATGGTAAGCAATCGGCGTCACCCACGGACACCTGGAACACCAGAGGCGTTACAAGTGCGTTACCGGCTTTTTGGGGACTAGGAATTTGAGAAATGTTCAGAATTCAGGGATTGGGGAGATAGGGTGGAGGGGGTGGGGGGTAGTTGGGCCTCCGGTAACCTCACTCACACGACGAAACACAACGCAAGCGTTGTTTTAGCGGTCAAGCGGTTTTCTACTATTTCATACTTGAACTTTTATTGGTTTGTTTTTAGATAAATATCTATACACACTTCTAACGTAAAAACAATTATTAATTTATGATCATAGGTACAAACTTGAAACCACCTGAACTTATAATGGCAGTACCTAAGAGTAATTTTGCAATAGTGGATACCTAGACTGTTTTTAAATATTTTCAAGTCATTTTCTACATTGAAATGTCTCATACGTATTTTAAAATAGTTTTCTTTGCCCTTTTCCGTATTTGACTTAATTTGAGGGTACTTACTTACTTAGGTAAAACTTAAGGGTACTCAAAGCTGAAAGCATTCTTACAAAGTTACACTGGTTGTATAGTTAAGTTACTTACTTAAGTTCAATTGCAAAACTGAGTAATTGTTCGGTTTAAATTAAAGAGGTCAGCTTGAGTCAGAGAACTGATTCATTTTATTTTTGGAATTAGTAATATTGACCTTATTTCTAAGGAAATAAGTCACAGAACACTAAAAACTGATGTAGTATATTATGATGAAGGAGCTACTATATGTCTCAGATAGGTACCTACTGAAAGTTACATAGGAAGAAGAGGAGGAAAATTAGTTCGTAATTCTATTGATACATTTTCAAAGCTCTCAATGAACGTAGGAAGTGAATGTAGGTATATTATAATTATATGATCTACATACATACATACGTGCCTACTCACTTTTCTGATTAGATTAAACAGATAAGTCAATATTGTCAAAATGGACAATGGATAAATTGCTGATACCAACATAAATATGTAGAACAGATAGAGTAATTGTTCGATGTTACGTTTTGTGACATAATGGTAATATTTTTTAGAAATTTAAAATAAAAAAAAAATAGATGTCAGGTACAAATGTATAGTGTTATGTAATTGCCTATTCGATTTAGGCCCCTTAAACGAATACTTATAATGATAATTATGAATGTTACATAATGATACGAATGTATTATGTTACAAAGTGACATGTGTTTTGAATGTTACAAGATGACTTTAATGAAAGCTACAAATTAAGCCCGTTAGCCATGACCGGCTAGGTTAAATTAGTCACCATCTCTGCTCTTCTCGCAGGTGTTTTAATAAGACCTCAGGGTTTATAGATTAGACAAAGATCGAATAGTACATGTCTCTCATAAACCTAGACGATGTAACTAGTAGTAGTAGGAAGAACTAAAGGTCGAACCAAATTGCTTGCTATGAAAACAATTTTATTTATATCCAGCAATGGATTGAAACTCATCATAATTGATAAATATATGGATGCTAGTGGATACATCATGATATGTTGCAAGGTGATTTTTTTGAATATTACAAGATGTTACAATATGTTACACAATATTGCGAGAATGTATGTTACATAACGACATGTATGAATGTGACAGCATGATATTAATATTACAATACGACATGAAGGGCCATGGTGCATGTAATGTGATAGTGGTGTTGTTGTCGAGACACGAACGATACAAAATGACAAACATATATGAAAGTTACAATATGACATGAATGTTACATGGTGTAATTGTTACAAGATGGCATAGCTGTTATAGATGGTCGTGGTGCATGGCGACGATGATGTTGGCGAGTGCGGTCCTGGCATCGCAGTCTGGGAAACTGTCCAGTACGTGCACGGCGCGCGCGATGTGTTCCCGCTGGAGACGCTTTGTCTGCTCCAGACCATCGCCTGCTAATACTGCCTTGTATAGCTGCGGAGAAAGGGTTGTTAGTTTAATATTTTGACGGGTTCTTTCTCAGAATTTTGTTAATGGGCCTAAACTGTAGTTTCGTAAATGTCACCAAAAAGTCCTAAGGTTAACAATAAATAAGATGTGGACATATAATCCTCAAAATAGTGACTTGTGATAGGCCAGTCACAACTTATACCACCAATTGGGATGATGACAGGGTATGAAAAGTAAAAATCTAATTAGTCCGTAAGTTAGGTAATGAAAAAATATTAGACACGTATTTTTTTTATTTTGTCGTATAATCAAAGTTTAGGAGTGGGGGCTAAAACGTCATTTCAACGTATAAAATGTACATAGAAGTGACGTCACGTGACTTTTCAAATCAATATATCTTCGAAAGTATTCGTTTCTGAAAGAAAATAAAAAATACGTGTCTAATAATCTACCTGACGGACATTAAAATAGAAGTTAGCCATCTACCCTATTGTAGTTCCTAGTCTGGACGTGACGTTTAATATAAAATTATGTTTTGTAAACGCACCCACATCATTATACAAAACTATGTTTAAGTTCAAACATAAAAAAATCGCTGTCAATGTAAGTCCACTTACAGCATGGTAATCAACATCCTGGACACTCTTCTTGCCAGCCTCGATGTACTCGTAGAGTTCAGGTCGAGCTTCTAACGTGAAGGCTAAGGGTGCTCCCACCAGGGAGAAGCTCGCTGGTTCAGGCCCTGTGAACGCTTCCAGATCGAGGAACGCTTGCCACGCCAGGGCAAGGTGACAGCCGAAGAGGTAGCCCTGAAAATACATTGTTGTGAACATAAAACTGTTTTAAAGTATTTTAGGGATTTCTAAAAGACGATCTGATGGTACAGGGACACTGATAGAGTTAGCTGACTCATGACTGACAACACGGTTAGTGCGATGGCTGGGCAACCGGCTGCCACGCAACGTGTCGCGGGATTCCCGCACGGAGCAACTCTTTGTGTGATCTACAGATTGTTGTTCCGGGTCTGGGTGTCATGTGTATGTGAACTTGTATGTTTGTAAACGCACCCCCGACACAGGAGAATATCGTAGTGCGGGGCAACGTTTTATTAAAAAAAAATTACTGACAAAACTGGTACTGATGGATGCGAAAAACATACAAAACATCTCTTTATATTTTCAAGCTCACCTGTGTCTGCAACTGAGGTTTATGTCCAGCCAGCTTCAGTGCAGCCGAACAGCTCTTGCCCAGCAGTGCTCCAGCAGCCAGCACATGACGAGCTGACCATTCACGACCAGCGCAGCCGATCACTCCACCCATTGGTAGAGGATCGGTTATTATATCCCATTCTGTAATCATAGTTGATGACCACGTTCTTCATTTCTGACGTTTCACTTTTTAAATGAGCTACTATATATTTCGTATTAGATTTCTTATTTTTCAGAATTCGGTGATACAAAATCAGGATAATACGTTTTCGTAAATTTTCAATCCTTCCTAAATCATAGTTACTAGGGTTTACAAAGTTGGGAACAATTTTGCAATTTGCATTTTGCCTGAATTAATGAGATTCTAAGCCTCTCCAACACAAGTTCATGCTTTCCACTAGCTACTAAAGTACTATATCAAACGGACAACCTCTTGTAATAATGTGGAAATCGTATCCAACATCGAAAGGTAATCGGAAACTGAATGCTATTTGAGACAGAGAAAACAGAATAAACACGAACACCGAAACCTAATCCTATAGAACAGGTTTATACTAATGTTTGTTAACAATAACATGAGTATTCCTGGTAATTATTTATTAAAAACCTCATTTAATATGTTTTACGACCGATTGGCAATAGTATACAGTTAAGTGTGAGTCTATTCGTATTAGATAGATATACAAGTACCAAATCGTTTCCACACATGTGATCTGTGATGCAAACAGAAGCCTACAAATTATATTTTCAAACATTTTCTATAATGAATCCTTTGATGTTGTTAGCCATGTCCGAGTACCTCCGCCATATATCTTCTTCAACCCACAAACTGACGTCAACACGGAACAAACCGAACAAAACCGAAAGCGCTAAACAAATATTAATTCGTCAAAGAAGCACATTTGTCCCCATTGTCTGTTAGAGTCACGTTCGAATGGAGGGCGCAGCATAGTTCCTTGCGGCACTCCGCGCAATGAATACTAATGCATGCCTCATGTACTACTATAATGTAGCACTTGTAGATCGGAATGCGCTGATTTCCAATGTATTGTGAACCTGATTTGTTTTTGAACATCGGTCATTGGACTAGCTTTTGTTTTAAGAGTTTATAGAGTGGTCCAGTGTGTTGAATGCATATGATAGGTTAAAGAAAAACGTTTTCAGAACTAATGTAGTCTGAGGTAGTTGATTGGTTGTTTATCACCTCAAACTACATTATTATGTACGAAACACATAGTTAACTTGGGTAGTACATACGAAAACCAAAATCAGTTACACATTGTTAATTTCGCCCATTTTATTGGTTTTAAACTTGATGAACTTCTTCCACGATCTACCAACTACCTCCAATTCAAATCTTCCATCACAATTAGCAACGCGAAACGGCTGCAAAATCGTACTGACGAAAAAATTACTTCGATTTTACTCTTAACTTAGTACCTACAAGTGTGGGTTTATCGATTTTAAGTCAAGTCGATAAGTTAATAATAAAACCTCATTAAAATAATTTAACACGAAGACTCTGCCTACAGTGTGATCATCCGTGTAGTTAGTATGCATGCAAATAAGGCTTAAATTTGTTCTCGCTTAAGTAAATTTGAAGTGGAGGTAATTACTTAGTTAACCCACATTCCTAGAACCTGTTCTAGTGCCAATATTTGAGATGGTTGATAAGTTATAACGACTTTTGTTAAGAACATACAACAATATTACGTTTCTTGTACGGTTCTTTGATTTTCTCTTTACTTTACAAGCAGCAACACTACGTGAAAATTTCTCATTCTCGATATGTTGCAAACGGTCACCATTTGAATATAGGAAGTCCATGCCCCTACCCACTTCCCTCTAATACACAAATTTAAAATGAATTAACAAATATTTAGCATCTTCTGGCAGTAATTATTTATAAGAGACCTTTTGTAATGTCCGAAAAATGAAACTAACACGTTAAACTAATAAAATACAAAGGCATACAATGAAATATTTTGAGAACTTGAAATTACCTGTAGCTTCTTCTATCTGGTCTTTTGGAAGTGGTCTGGAAGGCAACGGATTGTTCTGCTCATCCCTCTCACCGAGGAACTCTGCTTCAGCCAGATCTCGCACTGCTGATGACATCAGCTCTACCAGCTCTTGATTTCTGTAAAGTTATTGGAAGACGGCTTAGATAATAAGCTACCAGTGATGGTATGAATTATGATATACTTGTACGAAACTAAACAACAACATGCACAATATTGATCACCGTGATTGGTGCTCATAATTATAAACCCAGGTTTTGACTTGAAAATAGGCGAGCTCTCTCGAATATGAAACATCACCCCCCCCCCTTTACCCCAATCCCTGAATCCCCAACAATCCTCAAACTCCTAATCCCCAACCAAAAGGCCAGTAACGCACTTGTAACGCGTCTGGTGTTCCAGGTGTCCATGGGCGACGCCGATTGCTCACCATCAGGTGATCCGTCGGCTCGTTTACCGGCTCATGCCATAAAAAAATAAAAAAGTGCACTTAAAGCAGCATGGCGTATTTAAAATGACCGTGATTCGACAAATACCGCAAATCAAAATAATATCTAAGATACACCCATAGAAAACTATAAATGAAAACATCATACAAAACTAAATATAAAATGAATTATGTACTACGACGACACTAGCTTCATCTTTATAATAACCACATTTTTAACATGCAAAATTATCGCTATTAAGTCGCCATATTGCGTGTAACAAACAATGGGTCATTCTAAATGGTCGCTCGCCATCTTATGTCAAAAGATGTTGCGCAGACGCAGGTAGGTCAATAGTATTATCGTAACTTATGGCATATTCTGTGAATATATTCAGTGTATTTATTAACATATTATTAATTCTATTAGGCAGACAGATTATTTCGTAATTCTATGTCTTTAATTGATTTTTATGCTTATTAATTAAGCAGTTTTGTTTAATATTTTTATGGATACTTGGCCGAGTGGACGCAAGTGCGAAATTCTCAGTACTAGCACGGAGTCTGGAATTGTGCCTGCTATATGGCATTATATGGGACTCATAACATAAAATAGTGAAAAGTGGGTGTTACATTGTACAGTGGCATTAAGTGCTGTAATGTGCACCTCTGCCGTTCCCCTTCGAGGATATAAGGCGAGATGTTATGTTATGTGGATAGTTAAATATTTGTTTCTTTTTGGGTTTTCGTTGTTTCATTAACTGGGAGGTTTTGGAGGTGTGTGGTGATTAATGTACCTATTTTATTTTACTGTTACCACTTGGTTTCAACGCAGAATTGTGTTTTACTTTTTTTTTGGGGGGGTGTACCTATGTTACATATTTATCACTATTTAATGTAAGACTTTTCATGTAACATTTTAATATGTAACTGTTGTTTGTTCTCTCATAAATAACTAAATCGAATTCTGCATGCTTTTTAACTTTAATACTTTTAAGCCAAGTACCTAATGTTTGTTTTCCACTGATGAATGATCAACAGCCTATAAATGGCCACTGCTGACCAAAGGCCTCTTCTCACACGGAGAAGGTTTAATCATTATTAATCACCACGCTTGCTCAATACGGGTTGACGATTTCAAACTTATAATTTGGAATTATGAGCCCAAGCTTCCTCACGATATTTTCCTTCACCGTTTGTCAGTGGTATCTAAATAATCTTAGAAAGTACATATAACTCGGAAAAAGTCACATAGGTACCTGTCGTTAGTAGGTTTCGAACCTCATGCATGAGAAGCGCGCGTCTTAGACCTCCGGGCCACCAGAGTAATGCGTAAATTATACAAACACCTTCGTAATGTAATAAATATAATTGTGTACACAACTATAAAACATACGTAAGTCGCTATTTGTGAATGTAAAACGATAATAATATCATTTAGTTTTACATTTGAACCCATTTTATTCCATTACCTACACTCATTGATCTCCTTTTTTTTTGTATTTTTTAAGATTGTCTGACTAGTTGGCCGAGTGGTCACAAGTGTCGAGACAAAATATTACTAGGTTTTAAAAAAAAAATCAGTAGTAGCAAGGAGTCTGGAATTATGCCCGGTATAAGGCAATAGGCTCACCCCCTATTACATAAATAGTGAAAAGTGGGTGTTAAATTGTACAGTGAACTACTCTGACTACCCCTTCGAGGATAAAGAGACGTGATGTTTTGTTATGTTACAACGTATATGCATATTTTTTAAAACTCTCAGTCTTTGTCTTATTCCGATTCTTCTACTGAGTTTTAGACATGGTTCTGATTATCCTACATGCTTTAAAACCTGGACAAGAGTCAAGGGAATGTTTATGAGGTTAAAAAGAGAGCTGTTGGAAAGGCTCAGCTGGACTCTCAAATAGGTGCACACGTAACACATCATACTAAAACATTTCCACTATAAAAGGGAGCAAAGTCTCTCTCTCTCACACACACACACACATACACATTCACACAGATATTTCACACATTGGTAACAGACTCCAGAAACAAAACTGCTTAATCATCACATCGAAAATTCTCCTAGAAAGTCGTCACTAACCAAAAATTGGCGAGTCCCTATCTCATTTAATGCACATAACACATAAGTACTAATAACAACAGCACGTTAACTTTCACTGTTACAAGCAGAAGTACACACTTAACGCGTTGCGTTGCGTAATGGGTAACGTGGAATATTACGTTACGTCTCAGACCGGATTGAACATCGCTTTAATAGAGTGCAGTGTTCATGACGTTAACATGATTAAGATAGGTATATAAAGGACGCAAAGGTGGTTCAGTAACTGATTGTCATACACTTACATTTCCAACTCCGAGGATTGCAATTGATTAGCTTCAAGGATATCAAAATTAAAAATCTAATTAGTCCGTCAGTTAGTAATGAAAAAATATTAGACACGTATTTTTTTTATTTCTCGTATTAAGTTGCAATACTAAGATAAAATGGCGCTAAGTTTAGCAGTGGGAGGTCGATACGTCAGACGGACATTAATATAAAATTTAGGAAACTACCCTATTGGCGTTTACTATGTCGATGTTTTGTTTAGCCCAATTACTTTAGGCCCAATAATCCCCCTTATCTTTCCCAAACTCCCCAATCCCTTAATCCCCAAGAATCCTCAAACTTCTTATCCCCAAAAGGCCGATAACGCACTTGTAACGCCTTTGTTCTTCCAGGTGTCCATGGGCGACGCCTATTGCTTACTGGCTTATGCCATACTTATTGTCTACAAAGTCTAGGAAACCGCAATCTTTCAAAAACATTTTTCCATTGCTTTCTCATAATAAGATGGAAAACTTACATTTCCTATTTGAATAACAAAACCAGTCTTTACTATAACAACTTAAAGACCATTTTACATCTCACTACCCCATGCTACCTTTGGACTGAATGTACAAAGGTGTATTCTTGAAACAATAAAACATAAATCCTTAGAAATACAGAATGAAGTATTGAGAAAAGCTTAAACGGCTTTCTCGAAACTTTCCGACTTTCGTATGTTGTTCCATACGAATAATTTGTACATGAGTAACTACTTGTATGTTTGTAAAGGCACCTACGACACAGGAGATAAAACTAGTGTGGGGCATCGTTTAAAAGGAATCATTATTAGTTCTTTTGATTCCTTATCCCTGGACTAGTGGACTATGTCTAGAGCTTAAAAGAAACTGTGAGCTCGGAGTAGTCTATTAGGAATTGCCAAACTAATTTAGATTAGAAACACCTATGTTGAGTTCCATGTAATAGGGGGTGAGCCTATTGTCATATACCGGGCACAATTCCTTGCCCAGCAGTCGCACTTGCGACCACTCGGCCAACGAGGCATTCGCTAAGATGTACATAATAAACTAAAAATAACACTGCAAACATGTAATGACGTCATCGAATGAGTCTTATTCGCGTTCGAATCGCTCGTTGAAGCCCCTCTTTCCTCTCAATTATCATACATTTTCTACACGACTACCTCCCCTCTATGCGTATTGAAACTTACTTGTATACATTGTGTTACCTCTTACCTCAACAACGAATATTATGCGATCAATATTTTATATTTAGTCTCTTTAACAAAATCATTTTGATTCTCTCTTAAGAATTTTCACAACAACGTTTTTATGTAACACATTTCTTTTTACATTGGTGTATCGAAAAATAAAAAAATTAAGGACATCATAATCGTTCTAAATTATCGATGATCTAGAACTTAATTAAAATTAATAATACATAGTTTCTTTTCTTCTGTGAAAGTAAATGAAATAAGTTTGAATATTTAACAATTCTTCTATACTAAAAACTCAACTGTCAATTTCAGTCAACAATTATGAATTTAGTGTTGATTGAAAAATCAGCCCATAGAGTTCTAAAACTAACTTATAGCGCTGTTACGCTACAAGATTTTAACCCATTTTTGGGTCGCCGAAGGGGTTGGCAGAAGTGCGCACATTACGGCACTTAATGTCACTGTACAATGTAACACTCACTCTTCACTATTTATGTATTTTATAAGTCCCATGTAACAGGCGGTGAGCCTATTGCCATATACCGGGTACAATTACTGACTCAGTGCATTAAATACAATCGTACTCACCTCAAATTAGCCAGCTCAGAACAGGAGTTAGCGAGCAGATAGTCTCCGCTCAGCAAAGCGATCTTGTTGCCAAACATCATGTCATCAGGCTCAGCGGCTATGGGTTGACGGGAGTTCATGTTGACCAGGCCCTTGTGCACCAGGTGAGAGGTCCGAATCATCTCCGTCACTTCTGCTAAGGCTCGTTGGCTGTTGAACAGAATATTTACATGAGAATTTACTTTCTGAGGGTCTGCGCAGACGTTTTTGTTCAAGAGATAATTTTCGGGACTAGGGTATGTCAGTTGATATCAATGGAGATTCGTAAATACTTTAATGAATAACTCAGAAAGAGTACTAAGAATAACCCGTGGCAAGGATGAATCGATTTCTCTGATTGAAAAAGGGTAGCCTATGGAGTTTCTTGCTCGTTCTTCTCCATAGGAATCTACACCTTGGAATGAGCAAATAGCTTCACTTTAAAATTATTAGTTGACGTTTAAAAGTGCCTTTCTGGTGTAATTGAAATAAATGATTTTGACTTTTATCTCTCGATGACTCTTTATCAATTGTGAATCGATTTTTGTAATTGGCCGACCAAACTATCGAAAACGGGAATAGCCAATCTGCAATCATTCACACACTGTCACATACTCCCTTCTAATTACAAAATTTAAAAGTGTTTTCCTATGTAACTGGCCAGTTACATAGAAAGTTAAACTAACGGCTTTCGAGTGGACATGTGCATAGATAAACAATTTAAGCGTATCGAATGCGTTATTCAGCCTAGTAGCCAAGTGAGGTGTCAAGCTGCGACCTTTCATTGACATAGACATGATCATCACGTAGAAAGTATTACTAAGTCATCAATGTGTTTTTAATGACTGTTTACAGTTTACACAATAATGTATTCTATACAAATGGGGGAAAGGAGATTTCAGATTTTTAGATGATTTGGTTTTTTACCAAACAATACATAATTAATGACAAATTTAAAATAATAACATACGAAGCAGAACCCGGCTATAGAAAACGTCCCAAACTAAATTTTATTCCATGATTATTAAGGTAGACAGACAGCTATTCAATGGAAATGACTTAAAAAACGACTGAATTCGTCTTTAACAAATCAATTTTGAGTAAGAAAAACAATGAATCAACGAATTCACACTTTATTTGACCACATGACCACAGCATAAAAATCAATTATATTTATGAACAACATAATGGTCTGTAGTATCAACAGGAAGCATTATTTATGGATCCCTGTGATGAATGAGGAAGTTTTCACTTTCAAACCTTGAGCTGGCCAATGCCCTTTTTGTAATTTGCTAGTGCTACAAGATACACATTATATTATCATATATTATATATATGTATAGGTACCGGTTAATAAAACTTAAGGTCATTTAAAAGACACGATCTTTTTTTATATAAATTACTCAAATTAGGTAAAAGGTCTGCTCATGACTTTATTCGTTTCTGGGTTGATGTGTCCGTATACCTACTCCATTCATATTAAAGAAGAGAATTATGATTTCCGGTCGAAAGATACTGAGACTGCAAAGCTAAAGGTTTTAGTTCCATTCGAAGAATAAATTCAAAGATTGAAATAGTTTTTATAATAACTATCGTGAGACATACTAAATTAAGTAAAAACGCGGGTTACTCACGTGAATATACTGAGAAAAGCTCTACTAGAGTCGTGTGGTTCGAAACTAGTAGAGCTTTTCTCAGTATATTCACGTGAGTAACCCGCGTTTTTACTTGATTGAAATAGTCTTCAATATTAGCATGATTTGGAGGATAAATTTGTGCCCGGAATATAGGTTTGACAAAGGTTTGCCATATTTTTAGTACCTATATGTATAGATATACCTACATGAGGCATACATAACAACATTACAACCGAAAATTCTCAATCTTGTACCCACAATTCGCTCATGCAACCTAATGATCCAGGCGATGCATTCGATTTTGAACTCATTTCCAACAGGTTTAAGTTTGAAAGTAGGTAGTGCGCTTTAAGTATTACGACAATGATGAAACATTATGAACCTCGTAACACAGAAATATACTTTTTACGGAGTAAAATTGAATCACTTCGGAATTATATAAAAAGGTATTATGTAAATCTATCTATAAATCATGTATCATTTTGAATAAATTATGGGGCATTTGGTAAAATATTGATATTAAATAAATTAATATTAATAAATGAAAACCAGTAACAAGAATAAAAGTTAGCAAATGATATCAACAAATCTGAGTTGGAGCTTGAGGAGGATTGACCAACCAGAACACTTGTTTAACAAAGATGACATCTTACATCTATTAATTAAAAGACCTATTTATGTACAACGACAACAGAATTTGCCTCCACTCAGGTCTTAATCTGGTCTGAAGTCGTGAATAAAGAAACGGGTTAGGAGGGCTCCGGCTTAGAATAGGAGCAGAAATGGGATGGTATTTAGTCAGTAAAAGTCTGACACTGTCTCATCATCAGTCATTGGCTGATTTATTTTCCCATTCAAAAAATAAAGGTTTCAATCTCACCTGTGCAACACTCCAGCAGCTTTGTCCTGCTCCATATCTGGTATCTCAGGGCTATGTCCAGCTGCCTTCGACACCAGTAGCACAATGAGACCCCAGGCTTGCATGTTGTTCTTTCCATTGTAGATCAGATTCCTGGAAAAAGAGGGAGTGTCAATATTCACTGTTAACCGGCCGATCTGGAAGTCGTTGGGGAGGACTAAGTTCAGAAGTAGACGTAATGTAGTTGATATGATGATAATGATGGTGACAATATTCCTCGAAGGTTGGATAAAGTATTCAGTTTTGAGAATAAGCTCTTTAAGCATGAGATGCTCAAGGTACAAGATGTCTCTGCAATACTAATTGTTTATATCGTAAGCGATTAAATGAGTGATGATGAACAAAGTATAACAATACAAGGAATGCATATCGTTCACCGATCGGTAGGAAGTTAGTAATCTCCGCACGCGATGTTACTTCATGCAAAGGTATCTTGTATGATATTTTTTAGGTCTGACTGCCGACAGAAAACTATTGAAGGCATATCCTCCGCTAACGTAGATCACCGGTGACGTATAACGTTTTAACGTTTTAATATTGTTGTACTAAATGTGAAACAAATCTTTAATATGTTTTTATAATAACTATCGTGAGACATATGTGTAGGCTACGGGACATCGTCGCGACCGCGCACACATTCCCTCTGTGGTTCGAAACTAGTAGAGCTTTTCTTGGTATATTCACGCGAGTAACTCACGATTTTTAGTTAAATCTTTATAATATAGCCCAAATTCTGTACTATTTTTATTAAATATTTTGTGTGAGTTTTTCCTCTATTTTTCCTTTTGTTTCGCTGTCTCAGACACTTACATATAAAGCTCTAATTTTCTTAAAACTTCTACTGACCAGCAGCTTAGATCAGCTAGTCGATCGCATGTTCAATTTACGTAAGGACTAATTAGATACTTCCTGTTTGTATAAGTATGGTTTGTTTGGAAAAGTGCAATTAAATTTAAATACACATGAATGAGACCAACTTTTAAAAATAACATACATAACATATAACATAACATCACGCCTTTTATCCCCGTAGGGGTAGGCAGACGTGCACATTATGCCACTGTACAAGGTAACACCCACTTTTCACTTTTTATGTTATGAGTCCCATGTAATAGGGGGTGAGGAGGTAAGGAGGTAAAAACCCCAGTAATACTTTGCCCGACCCGGGAATCGAACCCGAGACCCCTTGCTCGGCAGTCGCACTTGCGACCACTCGGCCAACGAGGCAGTCTTTTAAAAATACTCGTGATTATTACGCTAATTATTTTAGAGATAAGAACTGCAATAATATCATCATAACAGCATGTTGCATGGCCATGTAAATGCACATTATCATTTAGGTAGGTATGTACTACGTAATAAAAAAAATGTTTTGTAAAAACCATTGTCTCTGAACAGAAAATAAAATTGCAATCTACATATAGTATGGTCTTTTATTGCAGAACTAAATAGATTTCTAAACTTTAGATAATACTTCTAAGTATAAGAATAAAACATTGAAGAACAAAATGTGGTTATAAACAATAGGGTATTTTTTTTAAGGGGGGCAAATCATCGAATGGCTTCTCCCGCCTGGGCGAGGCCGGAGGGAGTGTCAGACTTTTACTGACTAAAAACCACCTCATTCCTACTCCTGTACTTCAAGACCGAGCCCCGGTAACCCGTTGAGTTCTCCGCGGCTCCGTAAACAATAGAGGGTACGTCGTCGGTACCTACATTTTAAATTGTTTGTGCACGCTAATGTACCGTGGTGTTTCTAGCTTAAGCCCATATCAAGGAGGCAGACACAATCTTTCTGACAGGATTCAGAAATGTTCTAATAGGTACTGCATATTCATTACTGAATAATAATTATACTCTTCGGTAAACGATCGATCAATAATATGTTACGTGCATAGATATAATCATTCTTAATATTTCTGTGGATACGTGTATCGTTTTAATAGTAATTTGCACAAACCGAAGGCCCAATTTTTATTCACATTGCATTTGAAAAGAGCATCACTAAAAAGTTTAAATGTAGGTAATACTTTCAACTACCATTTGTTTTTATTAGTATGCAATAGGTACACTTACAGATGTCTATGATTTCTTTATAGACAATAATAAAACACAAAATTATCAATTTGCATTTAGTTTATGTTATGCGAAGACATTATCGTTCGTTAAGTGTCGTTATAAAAACTATTAGTTAGACGATTCGAATCTTCGCAAATAAGTTTGTTTGTAGAAAATATTTTACTTTCAAAATAGTTAGGTATGTTACTATACTTTCAAGCCGCAGACGACTGAAAGTGGGTACGTCAATAGTAAACAATTACAGACATTAGGCTCATTCAATCCTTCCCCCACTCCCAAATCCCCAAAATGCTGGTAACACTAAAATATTTTTCCGTTTCGCAAAGCGGGCCATTGTCAAATGCGCCTAGTTTTATTGGAGAAAGATTAAGAAGCAAGGGATGTTCACCTCAGTAAAATCACTTCGATGGCCACCATCAGCATCAGTCTACACGGAGGCACTGGGTACTCCAAATAAACCGGCCTCAAAGTCCTAACTGCGCATGTCTATAGAAGGAATTTCTACTATCCAATCTTTTATCCTAATTGTAGATCTACATAGGTACTTTATGTTTCAAAATATTTTATGCATTTAGTATTTTGCATAGTAATAATAAATCGGTGCTAAATGTAGCAAAGTCCGTAGATGTTGTGTCTCGTGACCGATTGGCTTTCAAATTTTCGGGTCGAGGTTTCGATTTCTACACGGAATCAATATTTGTATTGCAGCGAACGTGCTATACTTTACCATAAGCGATTTGTAAGAACGCCCAACACATACCTAAGTGGATAGAAAATAAAGTATTTGGGTATCCCAGGATAACCCGGTAACCGCTTCTATACTGATTACATTTTATTTCAATAATTTATAATTTATTCGCGTCTTAAAATAAAAAATGTTTTATAGACTTACTTAGCCGTTTTTAACAAAGGGTGGTTGCTTCCAACCAACTTGCGTAGGTGCAGCGCCACATTCGCAATCTCGTCGCTCAAAACCCATCGGAGACTCAGGAAGGAGGTTGGATATCCGACAATCTTCTCCGCCTCACTAACTGCTCTGTTCCAATCTGGCTTTGAACTATGTTGTGCAACGCTTGCTCGTTGCGTACTGCATGTGCTCACTTCCCTCGGAGCACAAGGTCCCCAAAGTTTCGAAACCAACGCACTAGATGACTGGACTTTCACTAAATCACACCTCACAACACGACACAATCGGCTAAGACTCATTTTTCCAAATAAATGTAAAACACAATACAAACGAGTACGCAATTCAAATTTCGAAACCCCAAAAGTTGTTGTTTAACAAACACAAAATTAAATTATTTAAAAATAAGAATCTATTAATGACTAGTCAAACAATAAATTCAGTAACCAATTAATTTTGCGTAAATCTTTGCAACTTAATAATTTTAAATCAAATGTTGCACAAATCCGATTTTATTTCGTAATTAATTTAAACTACGAAATACAAACGTGTACAACTTTCGCGCGTTATCGGTTGACTGACCGAATGGTGAATGATGTCTACGAACTAACGTCGGATTCGCGGATTACGGGGATTGATGAATGACTTTTTAAAGTGCACAGAATCTGAATGATTATTAACTCTTGCAAAATGCCACTTCTAAAAGTTATCTCAGTATTTTTGTGTTTCGGTTTGTGAATTTTTGGCTACCGACTGTACACATACAGACTAAAAATAAGCATTTCTAAACTATGTTACATATTATGAGAGTTATAGGACCCACACCTGTGAATAAATAAAAATATTCTGTTGAAGTTTTTTGGGGTACCTTTATCAAATTAACTTAACAATTACCTTCATCTTTTTAGAATGAGTTAACATTATTTATTGAGGAAGAGTAGGGTTACGGTTAAATGTTAAATATTCAGATTTAAGTTTCATTTGTAATGAAAATGATTATTAATTTATAATTTTCTAGAGTGCTACTGTAGCTAGATAAACAAAACTGGTACCTAACTCTATTGATCTAACTAATCGATACCAGTAGGTACCTCACGTAAGTTCATAAGTTACAGTTCCAAGATTGATAGCTATAATCTTTTAGTCAGGCGTTCAAATGAAGTACCTGTTAGGCTTTACGTTAGTAGGTAAAGAGTGCTTTGATATAAAATTCTGTAAACTTATGTAAGTAATAATAATAATTATTTTTAGCAGATACACAGGATAACTAATCTTAACCGTATTTTGAGAAACTCAGTTCACGTAAATCGCATTATCAATATAAATCTGCGAATTGTAAGCTTATGTTGCCTACATCTTTTTTAATTATGTACTTTTGGTAAAGTTATAAATTAATCATCATATTATGTGTTTTTATGGCAATGATAAAATGTATTTAATATTTTAAATTTTGCTATGCAAAGTAAGGACTTTTATGACTGTATAATGTTGCCAATTCATACTCAATTAAATAATTATACCATTGTGATCAAAAGAAAACATATTTCACTTTAGAATACAATCTGACGATTAATATATTTATTCTAAAAACATATTATTAATCGCCGAAAGGTGATAACAGGTGGACCGGTAGACCCAAAAACTATAATGCGATCAACGGACTCACAAAATAATATTAATTTCATATAGTATATAATATTAATTTAAGTAATACAATGCATAATAAGAAGTACGCTCAAGAAGTATACAAATTTTTAGGACAGTGAAGATTAGATACGTACACAATTAGCTACAATTGCGTAGTTGATTTGTTTACGTGTGATTATTTTGTCTTACGCATTTGAAAATGTTTCTAGATGGTTTTATTACCAACAAGCTAAGCCTAATGCTTGCGGCGGACTTAACAGGTTGCCGGGCAGGAGTAGGAACAGGGTAATTTTTAGTCAGTAAGAGTCTGTCTGACACTTCCTCACGCCTCAGCTAGGCGGGTGAAGACATTCGATGATTTTACCCCTAAAAAAAATGCATAGTTACAAATATATTAAGAATTCTACGAATTATATATATTTTATAGCAACTCCGCTTTCTTCTTTGACCAATCAAGACGTTTCATAGTTAAACTATATTTCGATCATCAGCCAATCCCGCCCGAGATTCGTTCGTGCTACAAACAGTAGTTCACGTTCAAATCAATCACTCCGCACGGCTCGCTGAATCGCTCACTCACTGACTCATTCGTTCAGTCTCTCGCGTTCCGCCGGTTGTCGTAGTCGTCTGTAGAGCGGTCACTACGGAATCACCGGTATTTTCAGTGCTATAGTAATTGATCTAATTCACAATCCCAGCACAATTGTTGTTATTTGATAACATTTGTGTGTGAAAGTGAGAGCGTTAAGTTGTGTGTAGGCGGGACAGTTCATTAAATTTACCGAACGTACTTTGAGGTAAGGGATTTTTTGTTTCATTCTTTAGATTTTTTCACGGACTATGTCTGGCACTGCTTTGTCTTCCACGTGTAATGCATACGTGTAAAAATCTGTGTTACCGGTTAAAGTCTCTGCATAATCAGCAAATAATTTATTACTAACATTCTACTGCGACGTACAAGTATTTCCCAGAATTCTTTCCTGATGTTATCCGACCGAGGATTGCGCATAATCTTCGTATATTATTAACAGCATCTGACTGCAATATAATTATGTATTTTTACCAGTACCTACATTACATCGGAAGCGTTAATCAATTATTTGTAATTGAATGAAATACTTAGTGTCAAAAGCAATCATTCACTATTTTAATGATCAATAAAATACAATCGCAAATCTTACTGGATTTAACGCAAACAATATATAATCTGTAGTTCCTAATTTTGGTATAGGCTGAAATTATATTTTTAAATAAATTCCATTTGTACCAGTATCTTTTTTTTCTGCGTCGATGTCAACCGGTATTGTAGCGCCGGCAATGACCTGAGATTTGGCCGGTCAATGATCTGTCAAATTGCAAACCTCTTTTCATGAATATTAATATTTATTAATTAGTTAGTTAGTTTGTATGGAGCCTAGAAACATGTCTCTGATATTGTCAACTGTCCATTAATCACTGTATCACAGTAACCCTTTGGCCTTTGCTGTTTTTTCCTGTTTCAATGGCTGACAATCATAATAATAAGAATTATTATGTCACTAATAATAACAATTATTATGCACATAATTATGTTAATGTACTTCCTTCTTACATATTGAAAATTAATAACAAAAAGAAAAAATAATCTTACCACAGACTACAGATAATAAAATTAAATAATAACATAACTACAGCATGTTTATGTCTACCTTTCAACCTGTGGGCATTAAAAAATTACCAATTGACCTCAACCTAAAATCCTACAAAGGTTTTATGACACAAAATTAAAGTTATTAAGATAAAGCATAGACATACAATAGTAGGTAATTAAAACCTTAATTATTATATTGAGATGTTTCATCCTTCAAACAATGAAATTAGATAAATGTTGTTTAATAATTAAATAGGTATATTATGACTAACTAGACTATCTGTCTGGCTTTCATTTGCACTTGAAATTGGGTAATTATCATAAAGTAACTATTTACTTATGTAAATATTTATCATGCCCTTGGTGTTACAATATTACCGCAGATAATAAAGGCTAGTATAATTTTGTAATCAATTATTCAATAGATTCTCCTATTGGTACTCTTTGTCACTCAATTATTGAAACGATGGAATAGTAATTATTTTTCAAAATAGATAATGACAATACTGTGAATCAATATTTTTAATCTAGATGAGTTGAGACTCTCAACTAATGATCCTTTGATTATTATACGGAAAATAAAATAGGTGTATTAAGTGCATATGTATAGAAAAAGAAAACTAACGACAAATTAACTAAAAATTGTGTGTTACTCACATGAATATATTGAGAATAGCTCTACTAGTTACATAACCACAAGTTCTTATACAATAATCATACCATAGCTGGTTAGCTATGGTATGATTATTGTATTGTAAAAATACTTCATGGGGTTCCATGAAGTATTTTTCGGAACAATGTCCCGAAGATAGTCCCTTTTGGTTTAATAAAACATGGTCCCCATGGCATAAAGATGAATTACAATAATATTCTCCTAATCAAATCCTTATTATTGAATAATAAGGATTAAATTAGCGTACAAAACTCCAAGGTTATCTATTTTTTTTTACTCCAAGGTATTTTTTTTACATGCTAATTTGTTTTGGTAAGGAAATTTCCTATTTGAACAAAATGACCGGCCATAACTTTAAATTCAATTTTCATTATTTAGATCAGTTCCAGTGATAATTCAATTAGAATACACATGCTTGTTTGATGTCAATCAATAATTTAGTTAGACAACCCATAAAAAGTTTTTAGCTTTGTTTTTCACTGTTTACAGTTTTGTTTTGTAAGTCTAATTAAAAGAAATAGCTATGATGTATTAAGATGTAAAAGATCATAAAAGAGTAGACAACAAAGGTTTTTTATTACCCTTTGTCTGACTTCTCTAGGTAGCAGGTCACTTATTAAATATCTATTTGAGTTGTTTGTTTTTATCCTAAAAAAGTGCACTAACGACGAAAATTACTGTTCTGTAATAAAAAAAGTAATCGCATGCAATTGCAATATTAAAATGCAATCTTACATTCTTAACAAAAACTTTAAATAAAGCTAACAAGCTAAAATACATACGATCCAAAGTCCACCGTTCGCGATATATCTATGTGACGTCACATGTTACATAATATAGTTTCTTATCTAAACTTCCCATTGGATCTCCCCACTGAAATATTTCTTATATCTATGGATCTCCCCTATCGGCCCTCCAGCCAAGACACGTAATAGGCAAACTGCGTCTCGCGAGCGCACGCGTCCTTCGGAATGGTACACATTTTTTAAATTTTTTTTTTAACCAAGTAGGTCGTAGTAGTACATTTTTCGGTCATTTTTGTAATGGATACGAATCGATATTATCTAATCTATACTCTACGGGACTCCCGATTAGAATTACTTATTTTTTTTTTATATTTGATGGGGCGACGTTTGACAACTATCTCGCCTGGTGGTAAGCGATGATGCGGTCTACGATGTAGCACGTCGTCCCATAAGCAACCTATTCACTCGGACCTTGAAGACTCCCAGGTTGTACCTTTCAGGAAATACAGACTCTGGCAAAGAATTCCACTCTTTAGCAGTACGCACAAGGAAGCTTGAAGCGAAGCGCTTCGTGCGTGTGGGCGGAACAACCATGAATCGGTGACGCTTCGCTGATTGTCTTGTGGTACGATGATGGAAAGGACTAGGGGGAATCAAGTTGTGCAATTCCCCCGCACACTCACCGAAATGTATCCGATAGAAAACCGAAAGGCTTGCAACCTTACGCCTGTGCTCGAGGCTTTGAAGCCGAGCCTTCACAAGCGCATCATCGTCGATGAGCCTCTTGGCACGCCTCTCAATGTACTTATACGTTTCATTAGTAGTTTTTCTAACTACTTAAATATTTTCTACCTTCATCCTTCTGATCTATTTAGTTCTGAATAAGCTGGCTTAGCTAGCCCTCTCGCACTCGCTGCTCCAGACGCTCAATCGTTCCGGAGTCCAAATTCAATGCTGCACTAACTCGTCCTTGTACCAAATAACTACAATTTGCATGTCATTCATGGATTATGTACTAAATAGCTTATTACAAAATTCATGTTTATCACTGCTATCATTTAGATAACAATCGCGTGCCGTACCGCGGTCAAAGTCTACATTATTTGTACTTAGTCATGTAAATAATGCAGTAGTGCCTTTAGCCAAATTACACTTAGGCGCTTGTCTACCGAGAGAGTAGAAAACTAAATGTATGGAAATGACACTGACAAGTGTCAAAATTTACGTCAATCCCATATAATTTGGTTTTCTATTCTTCATCTACATGTAGAAACAAGCGCTAAATAGCATTTGGCTACAGCTGCAGGGTACCTACCTTATCTGCTCAAAAAAGGCCTTTCTCTTGTCGAGGGTTTGCCATAATCCCCTGGAATCAGAAATTGTTTGGAGATTGTAGTTAGTTAGGTAACCGAAAGTTTATTGGTCTTCATAAAAATTATTAAACATATTTAGGTATAACCTGACACCGAAATTAACAGTTCTTGGAGAGTATAATAATATTTTTATGAAAGTAGTTATACAATGACGAATATGATACACAGTCAACGAAGATATAATTAAAACTCAATGCCGAGAGCGTGAATAAGGAAAGATCATTTAGAAAGAAATTATTTTCAAAGAACGAACGCAATAAAATATTTAATTAAAGCATCAAAACAATAATTAGGTATTGACGATAAATCAATGGCGGGTCGTGGGAAAAACCTACGAATTACAAATGATTAATTATCAATCTTAATCTCGGGGAAAAACTGTCTTTAAGTGTCATTCTCATTAGTTATCAATGCAGGTGAAAGTTTTCCATCACCTAATTTATCTAAGTACAATAATTGCATGTTATAAATATTTGATTTGCAAAAACCACTCATGTTACATCGAAATAAAGCCGTTACTATGCTCTATAGAGTAATAGCACTATCAATCATTGTCATTGGTGTGTGCATTGTGATTTGAGTACCACATTGACGATATTACGTCGTCAGTCCGTAAGATTGAATGGTCAGGCTATAAACGTAACATGCACTATTAAAAGAAACAATAGGTAATTGGTCCCAAATGAAGTTTTTTTACGGGATAACCCGGTAAATGATCAGACGGATCACTTGATCAACACTGCAGCAATCGACGCCGCCTATGAACAGCTGAAACACCTTAGGCGTAACAAGTCCGTTACCGGCGTGTTGGGAATTCGGGGATCGTGGAAATTGGGTAATTGTGCCTCCGGTAACCTTACATGCACGACGAAACACAACGCAAGCGTTGTTTCACGTCGGTTTCTCGGTAAGGCCGTGGCAGCACTACGGTCGAGTCGGCGCGTATTCGTGCCGAAGCATTTCGTGAAGAAGCTCTCCTATAATTAATTAGAAATGTTATTAAAGTTATCCAGCCCTTAATACAACATATATATAGATAATACCTTAAATTTTTAGACAGTTAAGTTCAATAAGTAGTAGTCTTCCTATTACATAGAATTCATAATATGACTGGTAAAAAGTAGGTACTATACTTGTAGCGAGTGTGATAGTAGGTAGGTAGTCTTTTCTTTTCCTCGAGGAAAAATGACCTGACAATAATTTCAATTTTCATTGCAAATGAGCCTTTAATGTTGTTACTCAGACAGATGGAGGTCCTTTCCTTAATAAAATTAATTAGTTATATCAAGTACGTATTTGAAACTAATGTTAGTACCAACACAATGTTTTTTTTTTGCTCTAGATAGATATATATATTGTATTTTCATCGTGATGGTCTTCATAAAAACACCAAAAGTTTGCTGGCATGGACACAGTCGCAGAAATATTAAAAACAGGAACCTATGGACCTTACCAAAACAGACTTCATAAAGCTTTACCCGAATCGGTCCAGCTGTTCTCAACTTCAACGCACAACATCCACTCTAATATGTGTAATAATGTGTATGTTTACGTTTAGGACTTTACCTAGATAGGTATTTTATTATTAATTCAAAAGCAATGGTCATACATTTTCCTCTCTTATAGGTAAGGCACGTGTAAAATCAGTATATATATTATTTAATTTAAATACTGGTTATTTATTCGTTAATTTATTAAATTGTAACTTAATTTTGCATTCATACATTTGATTCCCTAAATACGTATATATATATATATATAGCCTACGCCCTGTACAAATATATTAATATTTGTGTAACTGGACTGGTGGAATACCACTAGTCCAGTTTGTAAATGCAAATAGCAAATTACCCAATATAAAAGTAGTCTAGTTTCGTCAAAAATTACCTATTGAAGACCAACAATACGTTTTAGGTACTGATATTGATGAAGGTAACATGCATCTAACATACACTTGTCTATGCCCTTGTCGAAATAGAATTCGTAATATCGTGTTTGCCTACCGAATCGACATATTTATGTGATATGATATATATGTATATGGTTTAAAGCTTTCAGTTCGATTGTTTCTCTGGACTTTACATGAAGAAAATCAATTCGGTATAACACATAGCTATCGACATCAACAGAAAACCTTTCATGTCTGGAGTATAGTTAACTGTCAAATCACTATAATAGAACCAGTTGCTAGATTGAAACCCCAGCGCAAATGTAAAATCTAGACCAGCGAGTTCAAAGTTATCTTTACCGAAATCTAAAGCTAATTCGAGACAGTCATGCACATTAAACTGCAATGAGAGACAGCAAGCATAAATAACCAGAACATTTTCTAATAACATGCTATAATCTAGCTTAATAGGATGAAAACTCGGATCATAAACACGCTAGTTAAACCGGATTCAGTCAACATTTATTTATATGTATTAGTAAAGTCGATGAACTTCGCATTTCTAGGACGAGGCGAAATAGTTTTTTTTACACCTTCATGAACCTTCGTACTTGACCATTGCAAGTGTACACGACACGCCATGCCATGTAATGAATAAAAGCTGTTAACTATTGTTATTATAAAACTAAATATAAATAACTAATAGAGTATTGTTTCGTTGCTATCTGCTTGAATGAACTTCGGTACTGCAGATTCAGATGCTGTATGTATATTGTATAGTTACGAACGATTATTTTTTTTATTATACAAAGGAGGATGACGTTTAGCCACCAACTCACATGGCCAAAAAGTAGCACAAAATAGTTATTATTATTGAATCTTTCCTAAATATACTAGATTCTTTACTTTTATAATTATAAGAAAAAGAATCTAAAGGTTTTTCATAGACTGCCCTTATAATTGTGCTCGGTGTATGGCCATGAGTTAGCACTGTATGAGATCCCATAACATATTATATAACTATAATGTCTTTAAATCCTTACTTTCGTTTTCCCCAGGTATGGAGTGGGAAGGGCCGCCCAAGCAAGGCTTGTACGACCCACAGAACGAGCACGAGGCTTGCGGTGTTGGTTTTGTAGTTGCTATCGACGGAAAACGTACCCATAAAGTAAGTACACTTTTATATGTATAACCAACCTTTACGAAACTCTTTTCTATATTTAGAATAACTCTTCTACAATACAGTCAAAGCCTTTAAATATCTTCACTCCAAAAATAATGTTCCAACTTATGCTTCAGTACAAAAAACTTTTATTTATTTTAAAAGTAAAACGTTACGACGTTTTCTATTCACATTCTATTAAAAGATTGTTTTGTAAAGTTTCAGTTGCGTTGGTCACGTTGTTTTATTTCAGTTCTTAAGAGAAACAATGTGTTTAGGCGGTAACGAGACTCAAAACCGTTCATAAGCTTAGTTAAATCCATGTTATATTTAGAAATCAATATACCAGATAGTTATTAGGTTGGAAAACCAGCTAGACACACAAGAGGCCCTAAGCCCTAACCCAATCAATCTGTAAAGGGTATATAGTAGACATACTATGTATAGCGCAGAGCCCCTATCCGTTGCCTGGTAACATTAATTAATTTGGGCTGAGAGCCGTCTGCCCCGTCTATGAACATCGATAGATACCGTCAACCCTTTCAAGCCATACGCTTCCAATTAGTCTCTCTTTACGTCCAAAATGAAACAAAAGCGAGACGTAGTTAGTTATATTCAGGCGATATAGGCTCTAAAGTATTTTTATAGAAGCACTGGAAATGAATAATGTAGCTATTATGGAAAATACTCAGTTCAAAAGCAAAATTGCTCTAGAAAAAACCAGGAGGTTTTTTCTAGAGCATATATAGAGCAACGTTATACATTCTTGACATTTGGTTATAACCGCAGTAAAATATTCGGTCGAAGTGCCAATTCTTTTCGTGTTATATCGCATCTTTACCACATTATTTGGAAGCTTTTCAGAAGTTATGCATTTATGGCATTTTCCTTGGCAACCATTCATGTATTTTACGGACCTTAAAATAAGCAATTTAATAGTTTGGAAGTTCACCGAAATTGGCGTGGCGCGACAATCGTTTTACAGTACATCGGTTTTAAAATAAAAGGAACTTTGGACTAAATAATCGTAAAATTGTACGGAAATAATATGTGAAGAATGCGTCGTAGATATTTATATGCGTTTCCACTTCACTAGACGAGAGTTATCCTTGAGATTTGTGTGCATTAGACTTAGTGACGTCACGGGTCTGCCGTCGGAAATTTATTTTCCACACTGGTATATGTGAAAATTCACAATCCGTAAAACAGGAGCCGCTACATAACCTTCTGCCTTTCAAAAGGATAATTCAAATTATCTTCAGACAGTATTGTATAAGAAACAATTTGCGTCATACGGCTTCGTCATTTTCGGTTAACAAATGACGTCTCGAAAATAACGACAGACAAACAAGAATTTGAACTTCGACACTGATAAATTGTACTCATTATTTTCTTATTTTGTTGTTTATCGTCAAGTACATTGTTTATGTCCGTTAAGTAATACTTATGAGATAATTAAACTGCACATGGTGTGATTAAGAATTTAACACGATACTAACAATAGAGGACACTGTTCCATTTTTATAAAAAAATCTGAGATTGTTATTCAAATAGAAAAGAAAGTAGGAATTTAATGAGACATTATTAAAAAATATTTCACCTTTTTTATATAGATCGTCCGAGATGCAGAGACGCTCGCAAAGCGCATGGAGCACCGTGGCGCGTGCGCATGCGACAACGACACCGGTGACGGCGCGGGAGTGCTAACTGCTATTCCGCATCAATTCTACTGTGCTCAGCTCAGGTAAGAAAACGTAGATTATTATAAATAAAAACTGACGGGACAACGGTGTGATTAAAAATGTTTGAGCGTACTTTACCGCGAGATTAGAGAGCAAGATTATGGACCTCAGTGTGGCTCGAAACTCATCGAGCATCCTCAAAACTGTAGAAATGAGTGAACCGTATAAATATTACTTCATTTAGTTTAGGTACCTTATGTTTCGACTTCCGACGTAGACGTAAATAAAGCGCATTTTTAAGCAGTTATACATTCATGACGGTACAGGAAAAACACTTAGTGTTCGATGGGGCTAATATCAAATACGATACCCTATTTTGCTATTCGCCGGGCAAATAGCCAATAAGGTTATTGTCGAAGCCATTTTACGCAAAGACTTCAAATCTTCGACGGGGTCAGAACAATGCGTCACTAATGCACTAGGTTTAGTGGTTTTTGGGCTAATACTAAAACGAATGATCATAATTATCGATCGTTACTGAAACTAGAGTACCTAATGTCCTCATTATGTAAATAGACAACACATTGTCTGTTTACAGAGATTGATTAAAGTTAAACTATTTTCAAATCTACTCCTATTGACCACTCCGATCTGATAATTATCCACCATGATTTCTGACATTGAATTAATTAATGTAGGTCTTATAAATAAAAGACCAAATGCACTTTTATGACTATTGAAGGCACCAACAACTGCATTCAACAAGAAATTTAATTCCATTTTCAAATATTTTTTTGCAACCATTGATTAACCTACGTCATTTTGATAAAAAAAATCGGTCTTATAGTGTTCGTCTCGTCACTGTCGGAAGAGCTAAACCCTAACATCAATTTAATTGATTAAAAGTCTAAACTTTGTGGGGTTGGCGAGTTGCCAATCGTTACAAGGACAATTCTACCCACAGCCTTACACTTGGCATACAGCCAGATGGTCGGATCGGAAAATCGATACGACATGACAAACTGGAACAAAACCGTTCTCCAGCCCGGGAAATATATTGAGAAAATGGGTTGGAATAGTTGTTTATGCAACCATCAAGGAACCTGTCTTTCTTCTGGGAAAGAACATGCAAATAATAGAAAAACATATCATGTAAATCTTCGATTGATAGTTCTAATGTGTTTGCTTCCATGTGGTCTTATTCCTGATATATAGATATTTGTATCTTTTTGTATAGAAGCTTTACTTTGGATTTGTATCCATGGTAGAAGATGACCAGATAGAAGCCCTATTCCATGAAGAACTAGTCCAGGGACAAGTGAAACAAGTGAATTTATTTCTGCAAATAGGCTACAAGGCAGCACTTTTACACGTCAATTTTATCAAGCGAATGATGAGGTCGACAGACGGTCGGACGCTTATAAGATACCATCTAATGTTCACATAATGTACAAAAATCCCCGAATCCTCCACAATCCTCAAATTCCCAATTCCCAAAAGGCCGGTAACGCACTTGTAACGCCTTGGTGTTTCGGGTGTCCATGGGCGGCGCCGATTGCTTACCATCAGGTGATCCGTCTGCTCGTTTACCGGCTTATGCAATAAAAAATGTGTTAGTATTCAATTAAATGCACAGTTGATTCTAGGTTTTCCTCATGCGAGTCTAATGATAGGCAAATTAACTTACCCATCTAGAATATAATCGCCTCAATTTTGAATAACGATTATGATTACTATGGCTGCTAGTTGCAACGACATTAAAGTCATCTGAAGGACACTGTTTCATTCATTTATAAACGTTGATTGCTTCTTGTTCTCTTTGTACTTCTCTACTTATATAAAAACAGTACCTACTAATATAAAAACTATAAAATATAATTATTTTGAAACGATCGTAAAAGCAACAATGATTCTCGTTAAATAAACACGAGCGAAATTAAAACATTTTATGAAATTGCACTTACATAGTAAACATTTATAGTCCAGATTTCCACGTTCTGAAGTGCTTTAAAAATAATCGTTATTTTCATTGAGCCGTTTGAATAATGCATTGCACTTCGCTCTGTTATTTCGAGTACCGTTAGATACATAGAGGTGCTGAAAGAATAATATGTGAATAATTCAAGAGCACTGACAACGAATACTGCGCAAATAGTATAGAAATAAAATTACTAGTTATGAGTCATAGGATGTTGAGAAAAGGCTAGGGGATAATGATCCTTTCAATGCGAGTACGTTGCTCTTCCCTTCCATCAGTGTAATACAATGTCACGTTGATTACATAGTATCAAGCGAGGTCCTGCGTACTGCTTACGCATTCATAGGACAGTATCAAACGTAAATAATGACGTAATTGCTGTGATATTCCCTATGTATGTGAACTGTTATATAGTAAAGCATACAAAATGTAGCAACTTATATACTTGTACTACTTGTATTAACATTTCATGCGGTTTGCTTATCATGGTTTGCTGGTGAACTTCCTGAACCTAATATTTTTGAAACTTCCTACTCTTCGTCTACATCGTCATCATGTTAACCACTAGGCGTTCACTGCTGAACATAGGTGACATAGGTCTCCCCCAGATGCCGATTGGAAGCAACTCGTTCCTACTCCTTAGTCGCCATCCACTCATCGTCAACAAACGCCATTTCATATTATATTTCTACTATCTGTAGAGTTTATTCATTTTTTTTAAATACCTCTTAAATCATGAGTACCATTGACTTTATTTAATAGGGTTTCCCTCCCTATTAATTCAAGTCAATGTAATTCGAATGCTTACACGCTTCATTGTGACATTACCCTTTGCGGTTTGCGGTGTAGTAGGAATGACAATATTTACTTGCCGGATGGTCTTCTGTCTACGTCATAGACCGCTATACGTATACTGAAATATGCAATAAAAAGGCGATGGAGCTGGAATGATTATCTTGTTATATTTAGAAAAGGTGAAATAAGCTATGAAGTTTACAAACCACGAGCACTTTATTACCTATTAAGAAATTTAAAAAGAAATTCCATTTGCTTTGTGGATTATGAACTAGTTTAGTGCTACCATCCTGACATTTTAGATTCCTTTGATCAAAACTGCTCTTTTCATCTCGTCAGAAATCCAAAAACCAAAATGACAAAATTCGCAATTGACATCTAGATCCAAACTTGCCATTGCCCCTTGCTATACCAATTACAATAATAATGTTCTCGTAGGACCCCTCCCGATCTGGAGCTCTAATATCAACAGTCAATTTGTCTGACCCAGTCACCTATTCGCCAGCAAATAGATAATAGTCGCCACGATCCGCCAGACCCAGCTACGCAGTAGTTTGATTTATCTATACTTGATTTAGTGTTGTGTGTAAGTTTATCGATAGTGCTGTGTGTAATTGTGTTTCTATATCCTTATCGATACCCCTGTGTGGGGTAATTATATCGTTATCTGTATTTTATTATTACTAGCCAGTTATTCGTTAGTTTAACTACTTTTTTTATAACTTACGTAAACTTCCGAATTTGATGTGCAGAAATTACGAAACACAACCTTATTCTTACATACTTCTTTAGCATCCATGATCTCGTCACACTGGCGATGATTGTTCCTTATTATTTGATATACGCTTATAACCATAGAATTTACACACGACACGACCTATACTTGTTCAGTATTGTTATCATAACGCTGCATAATATTTACATAACCGCTATAGCCTATAACCAAGAATACAATGTAACATTGAATATAACGTAAACAGTGTTAACGTAAGCGTAAGTCAATAGCTAACGTAACTAGGCATATTATGGTTAAATTAGTTCAAGAATAATACAAAAGGTTTGTATCAATCGAATGTCATTATCGTCAGATGAATATGGGCTTCTCCAATCGCACGCTACTAATTCGATGTACAGCTCATTGCATCCAATCCACTACCAGAAACCCTGCGGCGAATACGATGCAAGATGATACCCTTTCTAAGTGAAAATTTTCGTATAATTGTATTTCAATTAAATCGACATGTCCCTTCCCCACTCGATATCACTATTTGTTCTAAAATAGGACAACCTTACAACTAGACCTTAAACATTATCTAGGGAACAATTTATGTACAACAATTCATTATTAATAGCTTTCTCATTATTGATAAAGGCGTGGGAAATGTACTGCTGATGTTTATTTACCTTTATTTGATTGTAGAACATCTGTTTGTTTATCCTGCGCTATTATCTGTTATTTACCACTTCTATGGACTAGATTAGTATCTTTACGCGTTCTAATGTTCGGCAGTTATGATTATGATATACATGTCCCCTGTACTAGAGGATGAATCTATTGACGAACACCACACCCAAATCCAATCTCCGTGCTATTACATAGAATTTTAAAACAACTAAATAAAATTTCTCGGCATTGCAGACCTCGTATATTCCATTCAACTTTAAACAACAACGTAAAACTATGTTCTACCTATGTACCTAATTTGGTTTTGCGCAGCATTACATAAACGTGCGATAACATACCCTGACTCGACCTTGAGTCTTCAAAAGAGGTAACAACCAGTAACAAACTATAGAAATACAGAAATACCAGATTATACAAACATCGTATTAGCATTACTGAGCTATTCAGCTCTTGTCTCTTATTACCACAGATAAGGGTACTGTCAGAGACCAAGTTATTATTGCACAAATTGTCAATGTTTTCGTATAAATGTAATAGATACCGCCTTTCGAAACCGGCTTTATTGATATGTAAATTAACAAGAAATCGCGGGTTACTCACGTGAATATACTTAGAAAAGCTCTACTAGTTTCGAACCACAGATGGGTTCTTCTTCACGAGAGAAAACGGGAAGAACCCCTTGAGTAATCCATCTCACGATAGTTGTTATAAAAACTTATTGATATGTAGTTTGTTCTGTAAAAGGTTCTGGTTCTGAATCGTAGCGTAATGTTTTAGCCTTTCTTCTTCCTCGTTAAATTCGCTATACAACACAAAAAGAATTATTCAAATAGGATTAGTAGTTACGGAGATTAGCGTTCAAACAAACAAACACTCTTCAGCTGTATATATTAAGGTTATGGAT